GCAGGAACCTGTGTCCACCAGAGAGCAGTAAATGCAAAGCAACAGGCCTTGGGACTCGCCTGTCAGTTCCCCGGCTGTGACCTGGCTGTGACCCGGCTGTGACCGGGCGAGGCTTGGGCATCCCTGTTCCTGCTCGCCCAGCTGGGACCTATGGAGGGTGACGGCTCTGTTACAGCCCAGATGGTTACTGACCCCATGTGGCCTGGGGTGGCAATCCCCGCCTTCACCCCCATGCCGGCCTTCCATGGAGAGAGAGTAGGGGGTGCTCGAGTTGCAGCTGGGAACTGGGGTTCCTTCAGAGCCTTCCATGCCTGACCCTCGTGACAGGGGAATGGAGCAGTCCTGCCCCGCCCCAGGGGGTGAGGGTGTGGGCAGGCACAGCAGCAGCTGGGGGGCCGCATCTGTGGGGGTGTCGGATTGGAGGAGCTACACCTGCGTCTGGGGGTGCTGCGCCGGCATCAGGGGGGCCGCGCCTGCATCGGGGGGCTGTGCCTGCATCAGGGCTACGCCTGCGTCTGAGGGTGCTGTTCCTGTATATGGGGGTTCAGCACCTGCATCAGGGGGATGCGCCTTCATGGGGTGGCTGTACCTGTGTCTGGGGGTGCTGCGCCTGCATTGAGGGGCTGCATCTGTGTTGGGGGAGTGCCTGGAGGGGTCTGTGTCTGGGATGGGGGTCTGCATCTGTGGGAGTCCGTGTTTGGGGGAGTCTGTGTTGGGGAGCTGGGTCTGCGACATCTACTCTCTTGCAGACCGAGCTCTCCTCCGAGGGGCAGGGCCCATGGCTTCCCACACCGCCTGGCCCAAGCTGGCCCCCCATTCAGGCGGCATGTCTCAGAGCGTTTGTGCTGCGTGCAGGTGTTCTGAGTGCCCAGGTGCTCACAGGTTTGTCTCTCTCAGCACAGGAAGTCCTGGAGAACCTCAAAGACCGCTGGTACCAGGCGGATAACCCCCCCTCGGACCTGCTGCTGACTGAGGACGAGTTCCTGTCATTCCTGCACCCTGAGCACAGCCGGGGCATGCTCAAGTTCATGGTCAAGGAGATCGTCCGGGACCTGGGTGAGGCCCGCCCTGTGACCTGGCCAGGCAGATCATAGCTAAATGGCTAGGCCCAGATAGTGGGCTCGCTGTCCACGTCTAGCCGATCCTTCTGGTGGGAAGTGCGCACTGGCCAGTCCTGCACGGGGGTGGCCTCGGGAGGCCATGTGGCTGCTGGACGAGGGATGGTCAGGCCCTGCCTGGTGCCTTCGGCCTCAGCCAGGTTCCCAGCAGGTCCTGTGAGGCGCGGCTGTTTAGCCTTGGGCTAAAATTTCACAGAATGAAAATCTGGCTGCACAACTCTCTCGATTGACTTCTGAGTGGCCCTGGGGGTCCCATGCCCACTCAAGGTCTGAGCGGCCACCCACCTCATCCCGCAGACCAGGACGGCGACAAGCAGCTCTCGCTGCCTGAGTTTATCTCCCTGCCCGTGGGCACCGTGGAGAGCCAGCGCGGCCAGGACATGGACGACAGCTGGGTGCGAGACCGGAGGAAGGAGTTCGAGGAGCTGATCGACGCCGACCACGACGGGATCGTGACCATGGCGGAGCTGGAGGTGGGCGGGTGCTGCGCGGGGATGGAGTGTACTGGGGGTGCCCCTGTCACAAACCCTATGACCTGCTGGCCCCTGACTCCAGCTGGGCAGGTCCCCCTCCCCCAACCGAGGTAATGCCCACACGCCCCAGCTGCTTCCAACCTGGAGCCAGCATTCCAGAACATTCCAGAATACACCCACATCCTCGTCCTACAGCATCTGTGCTAGCAGGGTGTTGTAGACAAGGAGCCGCTTTCCATGGCCGGCTATGGTGGTAAAGCCCTGCTGCTTCCAAGGCCGGGGCGCCCCCCAGTGGGCTCTCACGGCCCAGTCGGGTACCAGTGGGGACTGAGACACCTGCAGTCAAGGGCGCAGCGCCGCCACTGGGGGCCGGGGTGGGCGGGGCGAGCGCTGAGCAGCCAGCCCTGTGCAGGACTACATGGACCCCATGAACGAGTACAACGCACTCAACGAGGCCAAGCAGATGATCGCCATCGCCGACGAGAACCAGAACCAGCACCTGGAACCCGAGGAGGTGCTCAAATACAGCGAGTTCTTCACGGGCAGCAAACTCATGGACTACGCGCGCAACGTGCACGAGGAGTTCTGAGCCTGCGGCGCCTTGCGGATGCTGGATGTGCCTGCGCACGTGCGCGCCCTGCCCCCCAGCC